CGTCGAGATGTACCTTGAAGGCTGGATTATGGACCGGGCCAGTGGGGCCATTGCCCTGGGGCCTCGGACTGCCAGGGGGTCTCCAAGCCTCAGGCCGCGTGCGGTGTGTGGCCCAAGACTTCCGAAGGAAGTTGAACGCCAGGGCCCTCAGTGCGCACAGCGAAAGCTGACCACTAGGCCTCTGGGTGCTTATAGCGTGAGCTAACCACTCGGGCCCCCCAGACCCCTCAGCGCTAAACAGTGTGAGGGCCCCCAGGCCCCTTGGTGTTTAAAATGTGAGGTCACCACTAGTGCCCGCCAGATCCCTCAGTGCGCACAGCAGAAGCCGACCACTAGGCCCCTGGGTGCTTATAGCGTGAGCTGACCACTAGGGCCCCCCAGACCCCTCAGAGCTTGCAATGTGAGGGCACCCCAGACCCCTTGGTGTTTAAAACGTGAGCTGACCACTACTGCCCTAGACCCCTCAGCGCTTACAATGTGAGGGCCCCAAGGCCCCTTGGCATTTAAAGAGTGAGCTGACCACTAGGGCCCCCCTCGGTGCACACATCGAGCGTAACACCTGGGGCCGCTTGGTACATACAGTGCATGCTTAAAACGAGAGCCTCTCGGAGAGTGCAGTGCTTCTGTACAACTGAGCCACTGGTTGGCACGCTACAATACGCTGTGACATACAATATTCACCAACAAGTCAGTTCACCCCGGTACTTAGGGTCTGCATCACGTTGAGACGTTCGCCGATACAGATCTCTAGCGTGTCCTCCAATGCCTCGCAGACCGGAGTGTAACTAGTCGAAGGGTGACTTGTTCTGGTATCCAAACTTAAACTGGTACTGTGAGCATACTTGTCAACCCCTTATAAGTGCCTACCTTATTACAGATCAATTTGGACATTATTGGTCACCCCGTGCCCTTAGAAATCTCAATGTTCATCCTACAAAGTCCCATCACAAGGGAGAAATACAATAAAGACGAAACAATGTTTTTCCTGTATGGAAACGGCTGTACGCCGTATGGACCTGAATTTCCCTGTACAAGAATACGGGTAAACCGTGTGGGTTGACAGGTGTGTGTGAGGGTTTGCATTACATTGAGACGTTTACCGATACAAGTCTCCAGCCTGTCATCCAATGCCTCGTGGAGCGGAGTGTAACTGAGCGCATCCACGTTGCATTTTCTCTCATGGAGCACGATGGATGATAATTTAGTAGACCAGGTGCGTACAGCCATCTGGTCCTATCTGCAGTATAACATTCTAACAATGCCTGATGCGCTGGCACGAATATTGCCATTCTGTGTCGTGTGCTTTACGATTGTACAGCTGCCAAATTGGTTCCCGATTTGAGTGCAGTTGGAATGTTTTCAGGAGCCACCTGCTGCTCATTCGTTCACTTTAGGTTGACGTTTTTTTTCTGCTTGAATCTGCTCAGGGGTTCTACTTATCGAGCATAGGCGCTGCACAAATCGATGAACAAAGCTCACAGGTCCAAGGACACGTTGGACTTCGCGCACATTAGTGAGCCTCGACAACGCAGCGATCGCCTGCACTTCACGTGGTCTAGGCTTCAACTTTCCACAATCCTCATGTTCGTCAATGATTCACATTGAATCCTCCACGACCGGAGCGAGTACGGTTGCCCCGTTCATCATATCACTCGGCAGAGTAACACTCTCCTCCAAAGTGTGGGGCATACCGGATTGTTGCCAACTTCTAGCTGGTCGAAGGGTAACTCGTTCTGGTAACCAAACCTAAACTGGTCATCCACGTGGACCTAGGCAATGTGGGTCTGCTCAGTCGAGATAGGCCCAACCAACAGACCCACTGATTGCACAATGTCCAAGGATGGTATTTTCATTACCTTAATTTTCATTACCATCCATATTGATCTCTGTTTCAGCCTCTCAAAGGACGGTATCTTCAATCCATGCCTGACATCGTAAGGCAGGTGATAGCTTGACCCAATTCTTGGGTCAATAATCACTTTCAAATTGATGGTTTATGACCAGAGCTCGCTTGAGAAACTTCAAAACACGCGATACGGGTTGACTCACCACGTTGACTTGCAACATGCTTTTGGCATGTCCGCTCTCACGTCACAACGTGAGAGCGGACACGAGGATCCATGGCCCTCCCCGCTTACAAGATGGCACACTCGCGTTTGTCAAAGCCACTGGCGGTTGAGTCGGCCTTCGTCACACCTTTGCTACTGCAGCCTCTCCTCATTCGCACATGTTTGGTGTGGTCCGTTGTCCCCCACCTCATCTCAGCGTGTCTTGGCGTGACCCTTACATCCATAACTTGAGTGTGATTATTATACATGTCAAATGTCACACGAGGGCTATTATATCGAAACATTTGCAATGCTTGAATGTTATTTTTGGCATTTATTTCTGTTCCTATGGTATTCCATCCAGGCTTTAAATTGTTTAAAAAAAGGTTACCAATGTTATTCTTAGCTCTTTCGGTAAAGTCACGTTGAAGGGAAACAATAAAATAATAAAATATATATAAAAAATAAAAATTCTCACGACGTTTCGACCATAACACAAACGCTCATCCTCACACCTGTGTTATGGTCGAAACGTCGTGAGATTTTTTGGTTTATATATATTTTATTATTTTATTGTTTCCCTTCAACGTGACTTTACCGAAAGAGCTAAGAATATGAATTACTGCAGTCACGAAAGCTTTAAATAAAAAAATTACCAATGTTTTTAACGTAAAAAATAGAGCTTTAACGAAAGCATCTCTCTGGATGTGGCATGTTCGGGTTGTGAAAAAGTGAAATGCCTCTCGAGATTAAGAGGAGATTGCTGTGTTTAAGAGTGTGCTATTATATGTTAGGTGGAAAACAAAACGCAGACAAGAATGTTCATTCAAAGTTCATTTATTAACAAAACATTAACACGGTCAATGTTCATCAAAATTAAAGTACGTAATTAAATACCCTTAACTTCTCGTGAGCGGCCATCCATTGAGTAGGTACGCAAGAATCTGTCAAAACTTGATCCCTCTCCCCATCCCTGTACGCACGCGGACTTTTAACCCCCCCCCCCCACCTGTGTACGTACAGCCTGACGCACCCCCCACCCCCCGAATCCTATAGAACGGCCGATATTTAATCCTTGCTTAAACGATAAAGGAGTAATAATATTAACGTGGTTTAAGCAAACAGATAGTCCACCGCCGGACTATCTAACTCATTTGAAGGCCAATGTAGACAAATTCTTATCGAGGCTTCACCCCCACCCCCCCCCCCCGTTTCCTATGCGTACATTGTCAGTAGACCCCCCAGACGCAAGCGTACGCGTTTGGGTTACCCCCCCCCCCTCCATGCGTACGTATTAAATGGATGGCCCCTGGCATGATTTCAGATCATCAATTTAAATAACGCATTTAATGGCCACATAGTACGCAACTTTCTTCACGTAAACACGAGCTCAGCTTAAGCTGGAACACTTTGATCTGTGGTGGATCACCCAGTTCCTACCTCACTGCGCTTCATAGAATTCAAAGTCAAGCAGCTGGGTGATTTATGATCCAGATTCTCTAATTGACTCCTCGTCACTTGCTCATCGGTAGTTAGTCGCCTCCCTACCACTCTTCTATGGCTATTATAATGGTTCCTTTTCCCGTGAACTTCGCTCATTGATTCTCCCCACCCATGTTGAAGACTCGGTCTACCAGTTTGAATATTTCCTGTCATCCACACTGTTTTCAACCATCACCCTGCAGGTCACAAGACTCCTCTTTCTGTTGATTCCCCTGCAATACTTCCCGCTGTCTCTATTCCCGAGCTCGTATAACCTTGCTGAATTCAATAAATGTGTTAACTGTGGTAACTGTCATACATTTATCGTGGCGTTTGTTCCTGATCATTGATGTTTTGTGCGTGTGTGCTTGTGTTCAGCAATTGTATAAGAATAAAAAATAAATATTTTTGAAAGTCTCTGTTTTTAATGCATATACGCTCATAGTCCCTGAGAGCCTCTGCACTTCACAACTTGCAGTTGCAAGTTCGTATCTTTGGCTGAGTGTCACTACGCCAATTAAAAAGGTTGTGAATTTAAATCCCAATCGGGGTTGGCTCAGTAACTTTCATCGAAAAAAAAAAGAGTTCCACTTTGTGTGAAGTCTCAGTGATTTTTTTGTATGGATAGTCTAGGCCCTGTCATAGGAACTGTGAATTTCCACCACTGGCTCAGAGCTGCTGGCAGAGATGAGCACCACACCTTACCGGGGAGACACTTAAGCGTGGAGGCAATAATTCGTGTATACAGTTTGCTTTCAAAGATCACTGGTAAATGTGAATGCAAAAAATAATTCGTGTATACAGTTTGCTTTCAAAGATCAATGGTAAATGTGAATGCAAAGCTAAAGGTAAATGTTAATAAAGGTGCAGCCCTGCAATCGATTGCTCACGCCACTGCTGGCAGAAGGGGCCTTCACTCGAGGAAGTTCATGACAGCCCATCGAGAGAGGAATTTGGCCCACACATTACCCCACCACACACGACCTGCCGATCGACGATGGTGAACCCATTCATACTTCTGGGTGGACAAAAGGTGGAGGGAGCTTTAGAATATATGTCCCATTGTCTCAGTCGCTGCGCCAGAATAAACCGGCGACCTCCGAATTGCAAGTCTGGTGTGCTAACCTTTACACCACAGCAGCATTCAAAATATGAACGTTACGCAGATACAAATTCAGCGAGTGCCCTTTGTTAATGCTCTTCTCATACTCGCCACATATCTAGGAGACTGGGCATGTGACAGGATCCTATTTGAGAACGAACATGCGGAATAAGAGCCAGTGAGGGCCACATGATTATATTCCTGAACACAATGACTCCGTAAAACATCCGGCTCATTAATTGCTTTACTGTTTAAATTCTATGAACGAGTTCTCCCCACGTCCATCTACTTCCCCCTTCTGGGGTTGCAGCTCATCACCTACTTTACTGTGGCCATATGTTCCGCAGTTTCCGGCTTATGATCCATTGCTCTTGCATCATGGCAGTCGCAGAGAGCTGCAAACGCCACAGTGAACTAATAACCAAATTTCACATTGCAAAACGAGACACTATTCTGTCATTGGTCTAGCTGGACGAATTCGTGTGGCCAGGTCGTGATCTGGTTAGACTGCTCAGTTCACGATCAGTGGGGTTGAGAGTTCCAATTCCTTGACAGGGGCTGACCCAGCTCATTTACCACTGTTATGTGACGTGCAGCTCTCTCTCTGTCTTTTGCGTTTTTGGGGTTCTAGCGCTCAGTTGTTCGGCAGGGTGTCCGACTTTTTTGCTCCACGCGTTTGGAGAAGCTCCCAGCACGTGGAGAAAAACGTCGGATGTCGAGACTAGGAACACGGTACAGCCCAAACACACATCTGGCAGCTGTACAGCACGACCAAGAACACCTGTACAGTAGTGGTAGTATAATGGTGGGGATGGCCTCTGCCATAGGAATGTGAAATATTGACTACTGGATTATAAGCCATATTCATTATATAAAAAAACATAACTTATTTATCCAGGATAGCCATACTGAGTCCAATGGGCTCTTTTTGCAGGAGGGTCCAGCATTGGGGTTTAATTGAACAGTTTTCAGCCAATTAAATGAGTGCTTGTACTCGTGTGAGGAAACTGGAGCACTCAGAGAGAGGCCACGCTTGTGAGGGGGCAACACTCTATCCCCGTACAGGTGGAAGTAGATGGAGATTAGTTTACTTTCTGGACTGCCTTTCTCTTGGAGAGCCAGGGTTATGGCACCAGTATTTTCCAGCGGCATTTGTTTCAGCAAGAAAACTCTGGATCGGTGATCACCTTGTTGGTCTCATCGGCAAATTTTGGCTTTTTTAAACGAATGCTGTTCGGTTGCCAGAGACAATTTGGGAAGAACACTCTCATCTAAACAATGGAGCTCGGTTCAACGCACAAAAGCAACATGGTTTACAAACTCGTGCGTTGTTGCCACCACCAGAGTCGAGCACTTCGCATTTGTGTGAGCACGCAGATAGTTTCACTTTGAACTGGAACGGACTGGGGATTAACTCCTGCATTGTGTACGGCTTGACCACAAAAAGTCACCAAAAACAAATTCCGTTTTTTGTCCACAAGATTGTCCTGGGACTTCGGTCCTCGAATACGAGATTGCATTTCATGCCACTGTGCTTGTGCCTGTCGCTTCATTTCTACTGGTTAATATTGACAAGCAAAAGCGTGAACCATTATGAAAACATCATCACAATATTTAACAGGTCAATTAATATTGGTCGCGAAAGCCTACATGTTAAACTAAGGTCAATTAAAATCAATTTTGCGATCGTGACGTTACACGCGTCTGAGAGATAAAAAACAACATAGGTCTGTACACATTCTTTTACGAAACACAAACGTTGCTGTAAATCTTTTTTTTCTTCATACAAAATACCAAAAAGTTACCCACAATAACTGTTCTAAATAAGCTGCACACAGTAACAATGAAACCATCAATATGAAACATTGGAAGTCACACACATACTCAATTTATAAAACAGCCTTGACTGAATAAATAGAAAATGCACCGAGCAATAGCATGCACATTAAATCGTTGGACACCATCACTTTTGCGGGGGTTGATGAAGTGGGACAGTACAACACTAAGCACCTACGTTGATATACAGAGCGGTGTGCTAACCGTTCCACCACAGCAGGAGAGGTTACGTTTGATATGCAGGTGAGCGAGACTTAACCTTGGGTAATCTCACTTCCTTCACAAACACTTTAAAATCTATTTGTCGAGGGTGGCATTTACCCTAGACGAACCCCACAAAGCACCTGCATAATAACGTCAATCCTAGTGCAGTGTACGGACCCGTGCATTGGTTATGATTTTAAGAGAAACAGCAGCAAAGCACGGTAATTGTAACTGTCAGGCTTGGAAATCAGCCAGTGAGCACCCTGGTGTAGGTATTATCGGGGTTCATGCTTGCCAGCTCGCTGCTCGTTTATAAATGCCGGAGTCTCAAGACTCGTTGTCACGAAGACCCTGTTTGACAAGTTGTTATCGTTTTAATGAAGGAGAATATTACAGTATTACCTCGCTATTCACGAACTTGCTAACCGCGATTTTGGCTATCCGCGATTTTGGCTCTCCGCGAACCGCATCTGGAACTATACACGACTGCATCGAGAGAGAGAGAAAGTGATGACATACAGTGATGATATAATTTCCATGTATTTAATAGCTTATTTACGTATTTAGTGAAGGTAATTTATTAAAAAGATAGTTTTCTGTGGGTCAATATTATTACCCGCGAAATTTGCTATTCACGAGCATCTCCGGAACGTATTCCTCGCGAGAACGAGGGAATACTGTATTGGCAGAATAAAAATACATATATGAATGCTTATACGCTGCAGAGTAAAAATACAACCGACTTGCTCTGCTAATTTCTACAGACATAAACTTTCAGTCTCTCTCTCTCTCTTGTGACCTGTGCCAATTCCTTACTATCTGGTTGGCAGATAATAGGTGCCATGGCCACTGGACCTGCCGTAATGTAATGGTCATTTAGTCTTTTTGCAATATTTTCAAATTCAATCCTCTAAACATTCTGATCGCTTGACATTAATTGAGCACATCGTCACAGGCAGGCGTGTTTAGTTATGCCAGGCCCTATCAGGGATGATTTTAAGTAAATTATTTTGAATGCATATTATTAATAATTCAATTCCTTTTTTAGAGTTAGGACTTTGTCAGTTTGAAAAAAAATATTTTTAAAGTCAGTTTATTCCATTTTTCAGTATTAAAGTTCAATATATATTTTTTTTATCCGTGGCGATTTAGTTATTGTAATTGCTAATGAGACACTTTAGCATTGTCATTTGATAACCAATGCCTGAATTTAACAAAAAAAACAGTGTAATGTTTTAACTCCTTTAACTATGTTAGAAATTGCCACGGTTTCCCTACTTTGCTCAACGGTGAGCATCATAAACCACGCGGCGCTGAGTAAAAGCAGGCCACTGTGTACCGGCGTTACCTTAACGGGCTAGAAATTAGGTACAACACTTCACAGCGCTTTCCCATTTAAATGGGCATGGGAAGGTGCTTAGCCACTGAGGCAGTGGTGGAAATTCCACATTCCCATGGCTGGAGCAAGTTTTTTCCAAAGGACAACCACTGTTAACTTTCCAAAAAGTGGCACTTTCTGTCACAGCCGCACGCGTTTGACGGGATGAAATTACAAGGTTCCAGATTTCCGCTTGCAAAATAAATAAAAATATTACCTCAGCAGATTCTCACCTGGTTAAATTAAATACATCAATTTAATTATAATCATGCAGTTCATTATGAAATTAATAACATTATAACATTAAATGGAGACTGAAAATAGAGTAATATCTATGTAATGGGAATGAGTGGCTTTGTGATTACATTTCTCAATTAATTGGCCGTTTAGCAATGTGGAGCGGCTGGCTTTGACTGCAGCCGTCAAATTTGAGCGTTCATGAGTGAGGCAGGGCGCTGCTCGTGTGGCAGGTACATGTAGAGCCATCTCTGGATGCGGGAGGAGTCCTCCGCCGGCTCCATCAGCATGGGTCCGTCGGTCTCCACGTGGTTCAGTCCTTCCTTTATCGTCTGGGTGATGTTTTGTACAAGCAGGTATGAGGTGACGATGCCAAAAGCCTACGGAAGAAAGAATGAGCACGCTCTGTTATTGCACGGTGCAGCGGCTTGCACGCTGTGTTGTTGGTGGCCTGACTACGATTTTAGGTCACGGTGAACATCATGGGCGAGTCATATCTGAACCGGTGCCTGCATCCCCCCCCTCCCCTTTCATCAACCTGCACTGACCAGTTCGTGAAGTATGGTCACAAAACCATCGTCACTCTTGCAAATGAGACTATCCTGGTCTGCAGAAAAAATCTCATCGAGTTAAACAAAAGTAAAACTTGAAACCTCCGATGACCAACACCGCTTGGCAAGGCCTTCATTCAGCAGTGGATTGACAAAGGGGCTGTACATTCGTGTTATTGTAATAGCATTCAACACAGCAAGCGATGTGCATAACCACGTGCAAAATCACCATGTACCATTTCTACGATAGACACCAGATGGCACCAGACACCAAAGAAATTCACCACAGCACGGGCGATGGTTGCTCATTCATGAAAATAACATTTCTGTTCACGGAACAACTCTGCAACGAGGACACACCTTTATTTGAACGCATTACCTTTGAATTTCAAGGCGACCGGATGATAGTTCAACAGTGGCTTATCCAGTGAAAATTTCTATCAGAATCCAGTACTCTCAATGCATGTTGATTCTAAATGTGGAGGGAAACACCGCAACCCCGGGGAGACAAACACGCAAACTCCAAATATACAACAGGCGTCAGGGTCGTGATCGAACCCACGACCTCCTGTAAACCAAGCGAGGTAGTTAACATCTCGCCACCCGTAGCGATGAAGGCTGCCATAGCGCTGACACGAAGCGTTTAAATTCTGGGTTTATTTTTTTTACATTTTATTTAATTAGCAAAACAGGGAAATAGGAAAAATGAGCTGTGACTTGGAGCCAACAGTAACAGGATTGAGGAGAAGAAACGTCAAAAAAACAAATGTAAGGTGCACAGCCAAAGTGTTATGCTTCAGTCATTCATTGAGCTGGCTAAAATGCTAGCTGCGGGAAAGGGCCCAGACGCACTGTCAATCGTGGATGCTCCAGTGCAGCTGCTTTCTTCATACATCTGGTTTAACCAATTTGTCAAAACGTGGTTTCTGGTGCTCCTGTCAGTTTCTTTGAATTGTAAAGTCAGACTGTGGCATTGGGAGATTTGGAGCAGCTACCCGGGTTTTATTCAATGCAATCACATTAGAGGGAATGGAAGGTCTGGATCACCCGAGTCAACATGCTGCTGCCGCAACCCTCACTAGGACAAGCGGATTGAGAAACGAACGAACATAAGAGTTTACATTGTTTCAATGTGGTCACCAATGTCAACGTAATCACCATGGAGTTTGATATCTATCCAAATTTTGCCTTTTCGCAGGTAAGCAATGTCCCGATTTGGTGCTGCAGTACAGCGCTTGACTCGGTCACAACGTTGTTTGAGTTCACATCACAGCCCGGGGTTCTGCTTTAACCCATCGAGCACCCTTCCGAAATTATAAATTAGGAGACACACGAACGAGGTTGCATATCGGAAGTTGGGGAACTTCTGAGTCAAACCAAAGACATCAGGAGTGTTGACCCAGTGAGGTCTCGAACGCTAATGTGATGGCGTTCTGAGTCAGACGGTCTACTTCTTCTCTGTGCTGTTTTAATTTAATTAACAGCTCTGGCCAAGGGTGTTTTCTTTCACACACCACAGTCTGCTTCATTCAAACACTTCCTGAAATAGCAGCATTAACATTTTGCATTCGTGTCCCAAGAGACAACCCATTTGGGCTGGTCGTAAAAATGGACTGATTCCTCTAAGCCCCATCTCAGTGGTGAAATAGATTTCCCAGGCGACTGTTGATCTCCATAAATATCATCGGCTCACGCAGGAGGCACATGTGCCGATGTCTGGCATTGGTGGGAGCGCTCATTTACACTGCTGGGTTGACACGCCTGGTGGATGGGTAGGAGGGGGGGGGGGTGTTAAGAAACATGGCCAATGTTTCAACTGCCGCGTCGAGTCGAACCAGCGACCTTTGGATCGCAAGTCGAGTACCTTAACTATTACACTAAGCTAAAAACGAAACTTTTACATTTTACCAGGTAAGGCCTACTGAGCTGTATAAACTATTTTTCAGAAGCGACCTGGCCACAAATGATAGCTCAACGAAGTGGCTTATAATGTGGAAATGTATAGCAGCCAAATACTCCAAAAGCATGATTAGAAATTTGGAGGACCCAGAGAAAAATCGAAGCGACCACGGGGAAATTGTGTAAACTCCAAATAAACAGGCGTCAGGGTTGGGATCGAACCCACGATCTCCTGTATACCGGGGCAAGGTAGTTAAAATCGAGGTAGTTAACATCTAAGAAATACTCTTTGGTTCTATTGGGTAAAGTCACGTAGGTGAAAATAAAATAACAAAAAATCACGACGTTTCGGCCACAACACAAGCGGCCTTCATCAGGTGAAGGGACGAGACTGTCTGGAGGACAGCGCTGGAGTGTCCTCCAGACAGTCTCGTCCCTTCACCTGATGAAGGCCGCTTGTGTTGTGGCCGAAACGTCGTGATTTTTTGATATTTTATTTTCACCTACGTGACTTTACCCAATAGAACCAAAGAGTATGGATCCTAGCAGTCTCGAAAGCTTTAAATCTAGAATCTAAGAAATATATGATTCATAAAAATGCGTAAAATATTAGTTTGAGCGTAAGGTTATAATCTTACAGACATTACAGAATATTGGAAATTGCGGTCTCGTCAAAAAATAATGACCACTGTGGTGTTATGGATCAATTATATCCATAAGTTGACCTTAGACCTTTTAAGATGGGAAGCAAGCGAATGCACGGACCGTTAAAATGTTACACACTGCCACCAAGCTCTTCGTGACCCCGAGTGTCAACAATTTAATGTTATTTATCGTTCACAATTACATTCGGTGGCACACATCTGAAAGCCAGCGCTGTGGAGGAAGAGGTTGGTGGATCCCGAGGATTTGTGCAACTCACTTGGAACAATCTAAAAATAGCACCACAGAGAATGTTTAGTCACCTTGCTTCATGAGGCAAGTAATTGTGGTCTTTTATGGTTGGTTCCTTTAAAAATCCAATATCGCAACCTCTGACCTTGGTCAAGTGGTTTTGTACAAACTCCTTTGAGATGAGGCTCACTCAGACCCTCGCCCTGTCACTCCATTGTGTAGAGGCAAGGCCAGAGGGATTTGATAATTCGTGCGTGAGTTATAACCTTACCAATCGTACTGGCACTGCTCTTAAAAAGGGAATCCACCACATCACCTACTGCATGAGCGTGTGAGTGGACTGGTATTGACTCTCATCAACTTCAAATAAAACTCATAGGAAGCCACAGGGGGCCGGTTTGCCGGCTTATGGAACTGAGTCTGCACTGCTGAGATTCATGGCCAAGAATACCAGGATTACTACTCTTTGGTTCTTTCGGTAAAGTCACGTAGGTAGAAATAAAATAAAATAAATCACGTTTCGATCGCTTGTGTTGCGATCGAAACGTCGTGATTTGTTTTATTTTATTTTATTTTCTACCCACGTGACTTTACCGAAAGAACCAAAGAGTATGGATTCCTGCAGTCACGAAAGCTTCAAATCAATACCAGGATCTCCACCAATATTTTTTTTTCCAAATGAGTATTGAAGCATTGGCGCTCATCTCCTGTTTACATCTCTGAGCCAGTGGTGTAAATTACAAATTCTTATAGCAGGGGTGAGTGGATCCATAAGATAGCAATTGACTTCCCCAAAAAGTGGTACACATTTAATAGATTCTGAAGAGATGGCGGGCTGAGTCATCACCCCCCCCCCCCAACCAGGATTTGAACTCGCAACATTTGATTGCGAGCCGCTCGCTCTACTACAAATTAAGTTACTATGTAGTGAGATTGATGGTGTGGGTCAGGTAAGGCTGCCATCTTGGAGTGTAAGATGGCAGCAGCCTTCACGCGGCCCACTCTGTTAAGTGAGAAATCCCCAACGAACGTCATCAACGCGGCGACCGACTATCAATCTTCCGGTCACTAGAGCAACAACACAAGGCAGGTTCAGAATTTCGATGACCGTAATATAAAAGCTAATCATTTGATTATATACTCATACCAGTCAAGCCAAGTTTTGAAGAAGTACGGGCACTGTTGATCATTTGTGGAAAGTTCGGATATCACTCGTCACTGATGTTAACTGGGAATAAAATTTCCGGTCGCCAGGTTCGGACAGCAGTGGGCTAACCACCACGACATCGCTCCCCTCTCATACTATTCATAACATTAATAAAATTCACAATTTTGTTCTCATACCGGTGACGTCTTCGTTGAGAGAGAAAGCACAGGAGGCTCGCGTATGGAGGGCGACATCCTTGCAGCATTTAAAGTTACTCTTGCAGGAAATGAGCAAAGGAAATTGAGCTGTTCTGAAAATTTCGGCAAGATGACATTTATTGTCATTTTGATGAACGGGTGGGGCAAGGGGGTGACTGCCCCTCGTCGGTGGGAATTCTCTGGGCCACTGTGATATTGCTTCGAGGGCCGCTGACCGTGAAAGGCATTTCTATCCCAGGGAGGAGTTCAGGTTTCCTGCAAACTGCCGTGAGACCCGTATCAAGAGTGGGGACGGGCAGTGGGACTGGCAAGTGTGGCTTTCTGAAAAAAGGAATATGTTGAAATAAACATGTGTCTAGGATATTGCGAGAAATTACCTTTGAGGCTTGACATTTCAACTTGACAAAGCAATCCCGAGAGAGGGAGAAAGGTGTTGTGGTCTTTGATGAATATAACACAAATCGTCTTATGATTGTTTCCCCGATCATTACCATCGCCATCATAATTATTTTTTAATTCATGAAACACCTTCACTACAAAGTGAGTTGTATATATATTTAAAAGATGTGATGTATTCCAACGACCTATATTGCAGCAGACCTAGGGGAACCATATGTAAGAACTGACCAGTCTAAGTAAAAAAAATGTTTGACAATATGAAGACAAAGATC